AAGAGAGTGGTAAGATGTGGTTGAGCCTTAAAGGATAGAATAAGAAAATGATACTTCATTCTGAAGGCAATTGTAAACCACTTGAAGGTTTTTAAGCTGGACAGTAATATAATTAGAGTTGCTTTTGATGAAGATTAATCTGGCAGTAGAGGCTAATATTCCAGCCAGGAAGAAGCACTGAGACTCTGAACTAGAGTAATGACAGCGAAGAAGGAAGGGAAAAGATCAAGAAGAAATGGTTTGGAGTCAAGAGACAAAACTCCACATTTTGAGTTTGAGTGATTGAGATCAATAAGAGAAATTATGAAGTCAAGAGGAGGACTTGGTATTTGGAGAAAGGTAATAATAATAATAGCTGATGTTATTAGATTGAAGCACTTTGAGGGCAGGGACTGCGATTGCTTTGGTTCACACATTTATGCCCAGTGCTTGGCACAAGGTGAGTACTTAATAAATATCTGTCACAAAACATAATTCTAGATGTGACTGAATTGTCATATCCACCCTAAGAAGGTATAATTACCCCCCATTTTTTGCTATCAATTCTATTTTTTATTTTGAACTACTTCAGGCATATATTAAATGCAGGGAATAATATAATAAACATTCATATGTAGAGAATACCTCAGCTGGAGACACAAAGCAATACAGATATTATTATTATCTCCATTTTACAAGTGAGAAACCTGAGGCTAACAGTGGTTTAAAAATGTGTTCAAGGTCACAGCTAACACATCCCAGAGCTGTGATTTGAATGTAGGCCTGGCTGCCTCCAGAGCTCCTGTTCTCAACCACACCTTGTTTGTGACATTGATGGCAGATCCGAGTGGGGGTACTCAGCAGGTAGAGGGAAATACAATATGTGATATAATTTAGGACTAGAAATATTAATAAGGGAATTATGGGCATAAAGGTGATGTTTGAAGGGAGGGCTGTCAAAAGGTAGTAAATAATATTAATGGTCTAAGGACAGAGACGTGGGCTTGAGCGACGCACCTTCTTGAAGGGAGAACAAAATATAAGAAACAACTTTAAAACCTTGCCTGTTCACAGAGTAGGGTTTTAAATGCTGGCCTAGAGTGTCCCTTTTGGTTCCTAGAAAAAAGGCAGAGCTGCCTACAGTTCATGGAGTTCTCCTTTGGTATATTTGGCATAGGGCTAGGCCAAAGAAGACATCGTACTTTTCATCATTGGGTTTATAAAAATCCTGAAGGTGACGATGCTATTTTTTCCCAGGCAGAATCCCAAATGCAGCTCTGACCCTATCATAGTGGATATCTAACATTTTCTAGCTGAGACTGGGCTCATTCGGAGATGTGTACCCTCTTTTACACAGAACATGGACCACTGAGGTTTACTAGTACTGAACAGGATTTATCGTTTTGTAACCATTAGCAATACTACCCCCTAAAGGAACATTTCTTGGCTTCAATGCCAGATCAGAAGTTTTAGATGCCTCAGGAGAAAAGTAAGTATTCCAGAAAAAGTCTTGCAAGTTTTTGATAAGTATCCAAATTTCCTCAGGCCACTGAAGATTACAGGATTTTGGGAAAGTTCTCAGTTAATATCAAGTTTTTATTTAAAAGGTCCTATACCAATCTCATTTACAACTAGAATATCTGTGTGATAAAGATTTCTTTAAAAAGTATTCTTCAGAAGAAGTTTGGTAATATACAATAATGTAAATTATGTCTTGGCATATGACGTGTACTTAGAGCTTTTTAACAACATTATCGACTCCTTTGTAAAAGATCAGAAACACAAGTAGATACAGTATATTATTTTGACTCAGATTCTCCTCTATAAAGTCATGACAGACAAGGCTAGATATTAAACTTAATTAACCTTTAAATCTCAGTGGCTTTCATGCAACAACCACCACAAAGGTGCTCTTTCACTCAGAGGAATCTGCTGTGACTGCTCCCTTCCAAGGAATGACTAGCGGAAATAGTCTATTTCTTCATTCATTTCAACCTAATGCTGATTAATTTTAGACCATAGTCATGTGATGTATTTAAGGTGATTTACCATCATCATATTCTCTATTGCCTCAAGAGTTGTCCTCCAAATACCGAGACCAGGAAAGAGAAAGCTGAAGGGCCCTACACAGAGCGTGGTGAAAAAGTAACATGTCACTTCTCACAGTCCACTGGCCAGAACTAGTCACACGGCCCTACCCAAGAATAACAGGGTTAAAAAGACTAGTCTCCTGTGTGCCTGTGAAGGATAGGAGGATTAAACATTGACATATACAGTCATATCTACCATCTTCATAAAGGTGAAAATCAATGAAACTTGCGATGCTGATGACAAAATGAGGACAACCATGATGTTCCTTGGCAAGGGCAGTCATACGATGAATATGCAGGTAACGAGGTCCTAAACCTATTTTGCTGATAGTGAAAATAGTTTTGTTGAAGTATACCTATTTTCCGTCCAGGATTCACAAATACCAAATAAAAATAGCCATTTCCAACACACTAGGTAGTGTAAATCTGGGTGTGGATCCATCTGCAAATTAAGTAGTGTTAGAAGAATAAGTTTTTTTCTCCCCTTCTCACTTCTTATTTCTGGGGCCAGATGGAAAGATTTCTGCTCTGTGAAGACTGAGCATCCATGGAAATGTCCCCTGGTTCATTCCAGGCACACCAGATATCAAACTTTAAGAATTAAGTATATGAATCTGAGTCTACCCATTATTTTCTGTGTAATTAATATGGAAAAAGTAAGAGGTAGATCAATCTCTTTGAGGCTTCTCTTGGCATTTCCACATGCTCTGTTGTCATCCTAGTTTACTTTTCATTTCTTTGGTGTTATCTCTATCACAATCATAGGACTTAGTATCTTTTTCCTCCAAGTGTCCCTTCAATTGCCCAGCATCTGCCATCGTACCTTGGATATGACCATCGGTCAATTACTATCAATGTTTCTTAGGTAAATAAATGTCTAGTTTCACTTTTTACACTACTTGGGGTCAATTTTTTTAGCCATTTCAATGTACTCCAAGTCTCTTCACTTCACTGGCTCTCCAACTTTTGGTGCTTTGTTCAGTCTCTTACCCTGCTGGGTGGTGATTTGGAGAAGCAGTGAAATTTGGGGATCTGAGGCAGTGTAAATATCAGAAAGTACAGAATGGCTGTCAGAAGACACAATTTGTGATCTAATAACCTGAATAGCGATGGGAACTGGGAGACAAGTTAAGGAGGATTTCTCAAAAAACATTAGATCAAACTACAATG